CAGAGATTATATTCAGCCTAGAAAGCAAATAATACCTCCTACCTCTTCATGCCAGTATTTCTGAAATAGGAAAGTACTCATTTAGGTTGTAAAATTCACACCTCAGTTTTTCCACAGCACTTAACACATTTTAACATACTACATTACCTACTATACTCTTTACTCATTTATTATAGTCAATGTTTCTCCTCTGTTGACTCCATGAAGATATAAGCTCCACATAGACAAAAAAAAAAAAAAAAAGAAATTCTCTATATTCTTCATTGATAGCTCTCCAAAATTGCTCCAAAGCAGTGCCCAGTAGGTAGCGGTCCCAAATAAAGGATTAATTTATTGAATTAATGAATGAATAAAACATTTTAGGTTGTGTCTACAGCGAATCTGCAAAGCAACACACGTAGATGGGCTCTTCCTACAATACCTTTCTGAGGAGTTTTGAGACCCAGAGAAGCACATTTGGCAAGAGAAAGGTACTTTTTATTGCTGTAGCCATCTTTTTTTTTTTTTTTTTTACTTTTTTGTGTTTGGACTGTTATGTTTTCAATAAGGACAAAGACATGTCAAGAAAAGGAAACAGACACAATGTTCTTTTTGACTATTTTCAGAAAGCTTCATGACTTTTGAAGAAGAGATAAGTGGAGAGCCCTGAGATTCTCCTTCCCAACAGGATTAAAAGCATGAATTGTGTAATGTCCATGCCGCATCTTGATCTCCACAAGCCACCTCGCAGCCCCACCACAGGGAAGCAGGCAGCCTACTTTCCTTTCAACTTCTGTCAGCTCTCCGATTCTCCCAGTGATTCATCCTCCTGAACACACTATGTCTGAGGAAGATTTGTGAGAAAATATGCTCTGAAGGTTGAATTCAGCATCAGGCAAAAGGAGACTCAGAACCTAGAGCTACCCTGCCTCCTCTGAACTCCATCACCAGTGGAAACCTTTCAGCCAAGAGGCTTCGCTCCCTTTCTGCTCCCTGCACCCACTGCTGCCGGAAAGGTGTGGGGGATCCACAGGGAAGGGTGGTGTGGGCGCCCCAGCAGCTCTGCTCTCTGGCCATGAGCATGTGGCTTCAGTGGGGTTCTCCTTTCCCTGTAGGTTAGACAGCAGGATTTGAGCAAGGGTCGGGGGAGAAAAATGAAAGTGTTTTATCTGTCCTGTATTGATCCTCATGATAAAAAAAAAAAAAATGTGACTATTTTGCTCTTATCGGTGTATTGCAGATCCCCTTCACCTCACTTGCACCCACAGACCAGCGTCAATGTATAAACACACACTTCCTCCAGGGGCCTAAGAGCCTGTATTATGTGGGTTACATGCCATCGTCCCCTCTACACCATGTCCTTATGCTGATAACCTAGTTAATCCGTCCTTACACCTACGTTCCTTCTTGGAAATTAATATATATGTCCAGTGTAAGACCACGAGTAAAGTGTTAGTGCTGTTCTAAATGATGACAAGAACACAGCACTTTGGCTTCTGGATGAATGGAGTTAAATAGGTCAGCGCAGAGTTCAAGGGTCTGCTCTCTTTATTTGTGGATATATTGAAGTCAAAGTGTTACAACTAAAAACTTGCAACATTAAAAGCCCAGTTCCTAAAAAGAAAGAAATTTCAAGTTGAGAAGGAATCAAAAGAAAACAATTCCAAGATTACCAGCTAGATTCTACTTCTAAAAGATTATATAGAGAGTCTATTTTAAGAATGAGACTTTCATTTTTTTAAGAACGAGAGTTTTAATTGAGATAAAGGAAAACTCAGGACGGAGCTTGACATGTCTTAGGTAACTTATGAATATTCCCATTCAAATATTAATACATGTAATTGTCAAAACAACATAAACGCCATTTCCTCTGTTGTCTTCTATATGAATCAGAGGGAAATAAATAAAAACTTCATTTTATTTTTACCTACTTGGTACATACCTAAAGCAATTATACATATGTAACTTCAAAATCATACATGTACCAAATGTCATTCATTTATGGGCAGAGTTGGTTGTCACTCAGAAAGTAGAAGTTGGGAGGAGAATGAGGTAACAACACCCACCATCACCAAAATAGCAAACCCCTGTTTAACATTTTGGTCTTTAATTTCTTTGTTTTGTAATTTAAAGATGGATTTTCTGCCATTAAACACATAAGAATTCCTGCAAAGGTGGTTTCTTAAGCTCAGGAACACAGCCGAGCATGTCATGGGAGGTTAATGAGTGTGTTGACCCCCAAGGAGTATGACCACCCTGAGGAAGGAACAAACGGGTTAGCCCCTCAGGTGCCCAAGGATGGTCATGCTATATAGAAATAAAGGTGCACTAATGAAAAGGCGGGCAAGCCAACCTCGTGGGCATGCACCTGCTGGCTTTCTCCAGCCCAAGGTGAATCCTGGAATGAAACATACACAATCACATGAAAGTCAAATGCCATGCACACAATACCACAATTTGTGTTTCTTAGACCTAGAGAGTCTATGTCCCTCCATCTCCACCACCCCGTATGCCCCCTTTCCACACATCATACTGCAGCCAAAGAAATTTTCCCACATTCAGAGCTGACCATTCAATACCTTGCTCTTCTTGGAATCAGTTTCACAAGTCCCTAAGCAGATCTGCAAGGCCCTTTGCCCTGGTTTCTTCTGAATTCACCAGCTGCACCTCACACTAAGCTTCCCCACCTCATGCTACCGCCACTGTGGCTTCTCTTGGTTCCTCAAAGCATCCTGCCTCACAGGCTCTCACTCATGCAACTCTTCCCATCCAGAACAATCTCCCCATCTCATGACTATGGCATACTTAATTCTTTAGGTCTCTGCCTAAATGTTAGTTTTGCAAGTTTTCTTACCACACCAAAATCGATCAGAACTCTATGAGACAATATAACAATCCCTGTGTTTCATTTTCTTGTTCTATTTTCCAAAATGATTTTTAAAAATTAATTCCCTGTAAAAAGGGTTTACTATCTGTCCATGCCCCGGGTTCTAATTCCCATGTAAGAGGAGCCATACATTGTACTCAATACTCTGTTCTGAACTAATATCATGTCTGAGGCATAGTAGATAGTCCATAAATATTTGCTGAGTTGATGGATAAGATTGTGGGATCTCCATGGAGATGTTTCCCAAGTAATATTTCTAGCAGATATGGAGGTCATTAAAAAGTGACAGTCAGAATTCATAGTCATCTGTCTTCTGACAATAAAGTAAATGTCCTAGAGGAGATGAAAATAGATAGTGGGTTTCATTACTAGAGAATAGGAAATAACTTGAATTAATTGAGGCAGATGTGCATGAGTAATACTTTAGAAATAAAATAGAGCTTCTGACCTTCGATGATCAAGAAATATTACAAAGTTATATATATATATATATATATATATATATATATATATATATATGAGATTCAGTTCAGCCCTACATCTAGATAAAATTGTTTCCAACAACTAATGCAGATCATTACATTTTTCTTTCATTCTACCGTGTATTACCCTCTATGACATCTTAGAAAGTAGGCTAATATACTAATTGAACATTTCTTAGATCAMATCTCCTTTCCTCTCTTTATTTTTCCTTCTGTTCACTGCTTGTAATTTTTCCATGGCAAACACCTAAATTGGATATGACTAAATGTTAAGAAACATTAATATCCACCCCACCATCCACAACCAAAGAATTTGACTGACCTTACTATGTAAAAACTGAGCTATAGGTTTGTAATTATTTTAGACACAAAAATGAGCCTCAGGAAAAAAACTCAACCTATAGCTTGGGAAAGCATTAATAAAGAACTCAAAAAAACTTAACACCAAAAAAACCAAATAACCCAGTCAATAAATGGGCTAAGAAACTGAACAGATACTTCACAGAAGAAGAAATACAATTGATCAACAAATATATGTAAAAGTGTTCAACATCTCTAGCAAYTGAAGAAATGCATATCAAAACTATTCTCAGATTTCATCTCACTCCTGTCAGAATGGCAATCATCAAGAATACAGGTAACAATAAATGTTGGTGAGGRTGTGGTGAAAAAGGTACACTTATACGTTGGTAGTGAGACTGCAAATTGGTGCAACCACTATGGAAAGCTAGGGAGATTCGTCAAAAAAATGGGAATGGAACCACTGTTTGACCCAGCTATCCCACTCCTTGGTTTATACCCAAAGGACATAAAAATCAGCATACTACAATGATGCAGCCCACATCAATATTTATAGCAGCTCAATGTACAATAGTTAAACTATGGAACCAACTTAGGTGTCCCTCAATAGATGAATAGATAAAGAAAATGTGGTATATATACTCAATGGAATATTACTCAGCTTAAAGAAGAGTAAAATTATGGCATTTGCCAGTATATGGTTGGAGTTGGAGAATATCATGCTAAGTGAAATAAGCTAATCCTACAAAACCAAAGGCCAAATGTTTTCTCTAGTATGCAGATGCTAATTCACAATAAGGCAGAGGGGTACTAGAGAAGAATAGTGTTACCTTAAATTAGGTAGAGGGAACTGATGGGAGGGAATGTGGGAATAGGAAAGATAGTAGAATTAAACAGACATTATTACTGTATGCATGTATATGACTGCATGACCAATGTGATTCTGCAACATGTACATTCAGAAAAATAAGAAATTATATCCCATCTATGTATGATATATCAAAGTGCATAAATGCATTCTATGTCATATATAACTAATTAAAACAAATTTAAGAATTAAAGAAAACATTCAAACTATATCTAGAACAGGTAAGAAAAATAAATCTTATATTCTATAGCACATTGTTATTTACAACCTTCAGTCATAGCAAGGCAGAAATTTGATAAGAAAACTGATACAGAGCATCTCCAACTCAAGGTCATAGAACTAACAAAGTTCCAGAACCCCAAATTCCATTTCTCTGCTTCACGATATCTTAGTAATAATGAAATCTAGTTGATGTTTTAAGAGAGTGAGATTAAAAACTCCAAGCATGACTTGCAGGGACTTCTGGCCTGATGAAGCGCCCGCCTTACTCCGCTTGGGAAACCCTCACACATCTTTTGAAGACTTTCTTCAGAGCCTCCTGCACTTCCTTGTTTCTCAGGCTGTAGATCATGGGGTTTAGCATGGGAATGATCACAGTGTAAAACATTGACACAATCTTGTCTTCCCAGAGGGACTTGCCCATGTTACCTTTCAGGTAAATGAATATGAGTGTCCCAAAGAATAGAGCCACCGCCATCATGTGAGAAGTACAAGTGGAGAAGGTCCTGGCTTTACCACCCGCTGTCTGAATCCTCAGAATGGCCCAAATGATGAACAGGTAGGATATAAGAATCACGAAAACGCTCAAGATGATGACCAGGAAAGCAAAGAGGTAGATGACCTGCTCCCGGGGCCTGGTCTCACTACAGGCCAGTTTCAGCAGTGGTGSAAGGTCACAAAAGAAGAAGTCCACTTGATTGGATTTGCAGAAGGAGATGGAGAAGGTACACCCAGTGCGGACCACGGAATTCACCATGGCACCAGCGTAGGCAGCAGCCACCAGCCCCAGGCGGGTCTGCGGTGTCATGGCCGTGGCGTAGAGGAGGGGATGACACACAGCCACGTAGCGGTCATAGGCCATCACAGCCAAAAGGAAACACTCGGTGCTACCATAGAACGTAAAAAAGAAGAACTGGGTGGCACAGCGCTCGTAGGTGATGACCGTCTTCTCAGTCCTCAAGGTCTCAAGCAACTGAGGGACAATAACAGAAGAGTAGCAGACGTCCAGGAAGGACAGGTGGCTGAGGAAGAAGTACATGGGAGTCTGCAGCCGAGGGTCACTCTGAATCAGCATGATCATGCCCAGGTTGCCCCCCATGGTGATGAGATAAAAGGCCAGAAACACGAAGAACAGACATAACTGCAGCTCTGCGTGAACCTGGAACCCCATCAGAATAAACTCCACCACCCTGGTGCTGTTCTCTGCCATGAAGCCAAGGTCACCTGCTGAAATAAAATAATCAATCTCATTGAGGAGCCACTAAGGTGATGAAGGCTGGATTTAATCACTGCTCAGTAATATAATGATTTGGTTTTTTTTAGATTTGAAAACTACTGTACATTTTTCACAAACTTCGTTTCACTTGATCCTTCAGAAACTCTGGGAAGCACATGTTGTTAATCCCACTTTTGACAGAAGAATATAAGGGAAAAAAGAAGTGAAGTGGTTCGTTCAAGATTCATCGTAACCAGGCAAAGCCAGGGTTAGAGTGTGCTTCTTTGAATACTTCCAAACACTTGTAGGTCCCATGTTAGAGGCTATATCAGCTTCACATAGAGCCATAAAACACTGCGTTGGAAAAACCCTAGTGTTAGAGTCCAAAACCCTAGTGTTATAGTATTAAGGACTGGGCTTTGAAATCACCAGGTTTAAATCCTTTCAGACCTTGAGCAAGAAATTCACTTGTCTGACCCTAGGCCTCCTTCTTGGTTTAATGGGATTACAACCCAAAGTCTTAACATTAAGGTGAAGGACATATTTGCATACTGTGCATGGCCCTTGATCTCACTCACACTTAGAATTATGTTTTCCAAATGTGGTATACATACAATGAAATACTATTCAGCTATAAAAAAGCAAGGAAATCCTGTTATTTGTGAAACATGGATGAACCTGGAAGACATTACATAAAGTGAAATAAAGCCAGGCAGAGAAAGATAAGGACCACATGTTCTCCTCATACATGCTATCTGAAAGTTGAACTCAGATAASCAGAGAGTAGAATGGTATAGTCGGGGTACTAAGGAGATGCTGGTCAAAAGAAAAAAAAAAATGTCAGTAAGTTCAGGACATCTATTGTACAACAAGGTAACTATAGTTAATAGCAAGGTATGCTTAAAAATTGCTGAGAATAGGTTTAAGTGTTCTCACCACAAAAAAAGTATAATATATATTAAGTATCTTGATTTAGCCATTCCACAATGTGTGCATATCTCAAAACATTGTTATAAATACCATAAACATACACATTTGTTCTTGTTAAAAAATAAAAAATGATGAATCCATACAAAATTTTTTTCTTAATTATGAGATAATGGGAATGACACACTACTAGATTCAGTCTGGAATCTTCTTATCACCAAGTCCACAGCCCCCTGGAGTTCCAACATCAACTTTGCCTATGTGCACCTAAGCACAGTGAACTTAGATGCGAGACAGAGGGACATAAAGAGCAAGCACAGTTAGAACCTCCGCAGCCTGCTGCCTGCCAAGTCGCTTCCCCATCTCTGCTCCTGCCAAGCATTATGGCCTGGTTTCCAAGTGCTCTTCTTATTCCCAAGGACCTGCCCCAATTAAAAAAAAAAAAAAATACCAGATCATTATCAATCAATGAGATGCCTGCATCCTGCCATTCCAGAATTAGCCTGCAAAACTCATTAAGGGACAAAGCCGTCACATGGAGTTTACAATTCTAATGCAGATGGGGTTCCTGCCAGGTACAATCTTGTCTCTGTGCCTTTGGATGCTAATAATTTGGGGAATTGAAAATATGGAATGTGGACTTCAAAGATAATTCCTCGTATACTCTTTTCATCCTTGAAACAAAACCTGAATTTGAGAAAAATCTCCTATTGCACTTCAGATAAGTAATAAATCAAACTTTGATCAGTGTTTGGCAACAATGCTCTAATGGTAGAACAAAGGTCAGCATCTGATGGGGACTTTTGCCTCACACCAAGTTCTTAATAGTATAAAAATTTAGATTGTTTTCCTGTTCTGAGGGCTAAATCTTATCTTGATCTTCTCCCAGAACAATGACTTGCTGTGTTCTTCAGAGTTCAAGCATATCATCCTGACCCGATGGAAAAAGAATCTGTATTCATGTTTTTATTCAGTAAGAATCTACTGAGAAGTTACCCTGTACCAGGCTCTCTTCTGATTGCTTAGAACAAAACAGACTAAGAAAGATCTCTGCCTGTGGAGCAGACATTGTAGCAGAACCGTCTGTATACAATATGCTTTCAAGAGAAGAAATATATTTTCTACCATGTTAGCAGATGACAAGTTCTATGGAAAGAAAGGCAGGATGGGGGGAATTGAGGGTATGCAAGTAAGAAGGATATTGAACAGGACCATCCTAGAGCTCATTGAAAAGCAAKGTCAAGCAGAAATGATGAGATCAGGTAATAATTATTCACATTTATTTGCACACWCTATTACCCAAAATAATACTTTAAATGACATTTTAAAAAATAGCAGTAGACTTTCCCGCTCCCATTACAAAATATGTGAAGTTTTTTCAGGTCCTTTTGAGACCTTTTTAAAGACAACATTCTTCAAGGGTATTATCCTTCGAATAACAAAGAGAAGCCCCTGAAGTACTGGAAGTTCCATAGGGAGCCCAGGATAACCTAGCATAAAGGTAAGGCTGGATCCCAGAAATAGAGCACAGGAAATGGGCCCTGAAGATACACTGAGCTTGTTCCAAACCTGGGCCTAGCCATTTCCATTTGTGTGAACTTGGACAAATTCCTTGACCCCTAGAATCAATTTTGATACCTATTCAATAACAATAATWGCACTGCTGTGCTTTGAGGAAAAGATAGAATTCATGGCAACACACTGTGCCTAATACAGAGCATATCTGACACATGAAATTATTACAAAAATGGTTTTATAACCCTTTGGTTCTTCAACCGTTAAGAAATTTAATTTATCACTGCTTTATTGCTGAGTAAAATCAGTCTCAAATTGGGCAAACCACTCTCTCAAAATCATGCARTTAATAAACAGCACCAGGGTTTCCACCTCTAAATCCACCACWCTTTCCACTAACCTAAACCATGGCCCATACTTCAGCTGGACACATAAACTAAATCGGTTGTACTTTTATCTTTTGGTAATGATTATAATGAGCGACGTGAGGAGAGTGCCCAGGATGTTAACTATTGCTCTAGGTATTTCATGTAAACAGATTCATTCATTCATTTCTCACAATACCCCAACATAGCCCATCTTCTTCTTTTTTTTTTTTTAATTTATTTTTTTTTTTTGTTCGTTCATAACATTACATAGTTCTTAATACATCATATTACACGGTTTGATTCACGTGGATTATGAACTCCCCCTTTTACCCYGTATACAAATTGCTGTATCACATCAGTTWCCCTTCCATTGATTGACATATTGCCTTTCTAGTGTCTGATGTATTCTGATGTCYGTCCTATTCTCTACTATCCCCCCTCCCCTCCCCTCCCCTCCCCTCCCCTTTTCTCTCTCTACCCCTTCTACTGTAAATCATTTCTTCCATTTGTATTATCTTGTCTTACCCCTCCTTTCCTCTTATATGACATTTTGTATAWCCCTGAGGATCGCCTTCCATTTCCATGCAATTTCCCTTCTCACTCCCTTTCCCTCCCACCTCTCATCCCTGYTTAATGTAAATCTTCTTCTCAAGCTCTTCGTCCCTACCCTGTCCTTGTTTMCTCCCCTTATATCAAAGGAGTCATTTGGTATTTGACACACAAGCAGAGGCTGACAGAGATTAAGTCGTTTGGTTAGGTAAACCACCAAGCAGGGATTTGAATCATGACCTGTCAGATCCCAAGGTCATGCTCTCAATCATCCCCTTGTTCATGAGTACAATAACAATGAGAGTTACCAGGCTATGGACACTTTTCTTATACCCAGGACTTTTCCAGTAGTTTTACAAACATTACCCTCTTACACTTGGGGCAAGGAGAAGACTAATATTAAATAAAAATCTTGGCAAATTACCCTAGTTCTGAGTTGGAAGCACTGCCTAGTTTCTCTTCCTTGTAACCTCACGGTATTTTGTGTGTCCTATCTGCAGGAAGGGGAAGGCAGGAGAGGTGTTTATAGGCTTACAATCAGAATGGAACTCCTAACCAGGAGTCTCACCCTCTCAGAACATCCCCTCTATTGCAAATCCATTCTTCCCTAATCCCCCATTATACCTCTAGCACAGAATTAAGTTGAAAGATGACAGTCGTGTGAACATGCCCTGATTACCATCTGCTAGTGGATACTCCCCTTTTGCCCAAATCTCATTCCTCATTTTTAATTTATCTTATCTTGCTGCATGTTGTGCATTTTTATAAACCACTTTAAATCTCTTTTGGAAAGAGGTATTGATGAATAAATAAATACAAAATAAAATTGCCCATTTGCTGGATGCCAGAATAATCAGAATAATTATCCCTATCAGCATCAGACCAATAACAGTGCCGCCAGAGCACTCTGCCAAATGGGTTCTGGAAAGACAATGCACAAACAGGCATTCAGCCTAAATCAGACTCATCTGTGTATGGATGATGGAGAAAGGCARATGCTCAAGGAGAAAATGGAAAAGCTGAAGGAGGTTCTCCGGGTCTGCCATACTACAGCTAGCTCCTGAAATCTTAAAGTCTCAAGATAGCTCCCTAGGCCTTCATTTTGAGACAGTGTGGGGAGAGGTTCTCCTAATCCATAGCAAACCGGATGAGATCCTTCTTGGCATCAACTGTGTCCACTTTAATGAGCAGAAGAAAATTTTGAGGGAAACCAAGATTTTCCAGTGGTTTCTGATCTTCAGAAGAGCTACCATATTTTTTCCAAAAACTATCACCCTGCCATGTGATACACAGTCTAAATTCCTAAAACACTGCTGAATGATTTATGATTCTAGGCAGAACAGCCTTAATCAATTTCCTAATAATTAAGATTAGGGAAAACAGCAACTGCACCATAACATCAAGGTGGGAAGGGGCTGGGGATGTGGCTCAAGTGGTGGTGCACTCACCTGGCATGCGTGCGGCCCGGGTTCGATCCTCAGCACCACATACAAACAAAGATGTTGTGTCCACCGAAAACTAAAAAATAAATAAATATTAAAAATTTAAAAAAAAAAAAAAAAGGTGGGAAGAAGAACCATGGATGTGTGTGGCCTTAGAAGAAAGTATTTGGTCCCAGGCATTCAGAAAAGCTCA